TTTTGGAGCTGAATTCGAATTTAGCAACCATTTGAACATTTACGAAGTAGTTTTGGTGACTTCGTAACATGTTACGAAGCTGTCAGAGGCGGTTGACACGTACTACGAATACCCGTCACGACACCTACTGGTTGACCTGACCTGACCTGACCCGACCTGGTCTAAATGCTTCAAGACATCATCTGTGATCAAAACTAACACGATATTCGTGATCAGCACCCCGAAAAACCCCTTAGCAGCCACACTTTACGACTTTCTAACAGGTCCCGATTTTCCCGACTTTGGGTCATTGACCTGACCTGGAAGGTCAACCAATGACCTAGGACCTTAAAATTGGGTATCATCGGCTTCCTCTCGTCACGGGCAACACGCTCGTTTTTTTCCGCGAAGCTCTAGCTCGATCAGGGGCCAAACGGCAAGGGGGGGTCCAACCGACCCCCCCCCCCCTACACATTAGAAGCTGGCAAACGCCGCACACATGCGAGGGTTAATTAGGATTTTCTTTGTTTCTCAGAAACCTACATGTCAAGTTGAAGGCGTTTGAGCGATACTTCGTCTACACTGACTACCAACGTTGTACCGCAATATATATCCACGCCAATTTCCAATATGTAGTGTTATCAATTCTCCACCGTTGCGGTGACACCTCGGATGACCTTTGTAGAGGCTATCAGCAAAAAGGACACCTTGGTCATCACGGGTGGTCCAATTCATTGTGATTCTGAAATATTTGGACTGTTCCTATGCGTACACACGGATCTAGAGGCATTTTCATTTTTCTCCATTGACTTATAATGGTAAGGTCACGCCACTGACCTGACCTTAGGTAACGGATATAAAAAATCCGAGATATACAAATTGTAGGCTTCCATAACATCATGCAATCCACCAAGTTTAAAACCTTTCTGACAAACACTGCAGGCTGGACATGATTGCAAACTTCTTTTTAGGCCTGGTCAGTTAACTTGACCTGGTGACCTGACCTGACATGACCTGGGGTCAAAAATTTCACACATTGTCCAAAATTGATGTACAAAAAGCTATGCGCAGCGGTTTGTTATTTATACGCAAAAAACGCGACAGGTTGGTAACATATGCCCCCCCCCCCCCACTGGGGCGAAGGTTAATTTACAACCGAGCCTCCAAAAATGCGTAAACCATGCTGCTAGACCGGAGGTTGACGAGGGCCGAGAATATTGCGCGCGCAGCACAGACTGTAAAATTCGCACGTGACGCGAAACATTAACCCGGCGGCTGCTGGGCCTCCGCGCCACCCACCGGCCGCTGGGGGGGGGGGGGGCATATAGTTGCCCCCCTTTACTTCTGCGACGATATCGTCGCAACGCGAAGAGATAGAGAAGCGAAACTTTGCACACATCTTCCTGAATACCTAGCCGAGGTTGTGTCGAAATTTAGTGTCGATCCCATTTAAAATGACGTCACAGTGACGTCATAAGTGAAATTATAGATTTGCGTCTCTCATATTCTTTACGTCTCTCATATTCTTATTATTATCTCATACATCAGATATTTGGGACCGAATATAAAGGGTCGATTATTGGTCAGAAACTAGATGGAAGTGTAGTTAGATGTTTTAAGATGACAGCAGGTGCTGTCTAGTTCATTTACAGTTGAGTTATATGCTCAGCGTCATCAGAAACGGTCCATATCGGAAAACGACAAAACTTTATGACGTCACTGTGACGTCATCTTAGGTGCTTCAACCACCAAACTTTCCTCAAACATTGCCTAGGTATTCATTTGAAGCTATGCCAAGTTTCACGTTCGTAGCTCATCAGGTTTCGGAGATATTTTACAAAACGTTAACCCTATTAGTGGCAGGGGGGGTTGTTTTCATCCACCCCTCAGGTTTTTCGGGAATATCTCCGAAACCGCTGAAGCTACGATGCTGAAACTTTCTGACTTTTCCTAAAACTAAATTGGGCACATTCCCTGAAAATTTCAAGTTCATAACTTTACCAGGGGCGGCTCCAGAGCACTGGGAATTGGGGGGTCCTATTCGTGAAGCGAGTCATTTGGGCGAAGATCACGATGCTGCACCAGTTTTACGAACAGTGAATGAAAGGCATCATGTGATAACATATACAGTTATTGTGCATCCTCTTTTGACACGTTTTTGCTATAATAGGCGGATCCAGGCGTCCAAAAAGGGGGGTTATGCTTTACCTCCCAACATAGGTGCCCTGACACCGCCTATGCATGACCAATACAATTGTAGTCGCTCTCTCATAAGAAAATTGTAACATAACAAGACCATTACCACCCTTTTTAGAAACAGTACCAACAAAAACCTTATTTACTATACTTTTTGTGTACCCCAAATCTCAATGATCTGTATCCGCCTATGATTTTTGAAAATGCATATTTTTAGGATCCATGTGAATTCCTGGTTCATTCTCTATCGATCGGCAAAAGTTGCGTTAAGATTGGTTCAGAAACCTGGCCGTGATAAACAGTCTAAAATGTATCTGCAATTTGCCCGTTTTTACCCCCCTCTACCCCCCCAATTGACATTTTTTAATTTTTATTTTATAGAAATGTAGATCACGTTGAGCGAAATCGAATGCCGTTTGAATTTTGAAAATCGGCCCGTTAGATCTCGAGATATCAAGGGGGGGTCGTAAACAGCCCCCCCTGCCACTAATAGGGGTAGCCAGGAGCCTGCCACTAATAGGGTTAAGGGGGGGCAACTTTATGCCCCCCAGCGGCTCGTGGGTTAAAATGTCATCAGCGATGAGACCAGTCAGAGTTGGAAAGTCCAAGCAAAGAATTTATATGCAATATCTGCTGATCGGCAATGCAGCCGCAATTGTCAAAATTTTATAATTATTTAATTTTTCAAAACCATTTTTAGTACGTTTTTTTACATTGTACAGCAAAATGAATTGTACCATCGCGGTGTTCCTGAGCTCAAACTGCATCTGATAGGCACCTTTTTGTTGAAACATTTGATTTTTACAATTTGACCTTTTCTGACTTGAACTTGACCTGACCTCCGGTAAATTCAGCTGAAAATGACCTCAAATGACACAGACGACATAGTTTGCGAAATCTACGTGTAAAATGGACCATAAAACATGCGTCACGTGACCGATACATGATATACAATTTCGTGACCTAGGATGACCTGGGCTTGACCTGAAAAATTCAAATTAAAAGTTCGGTACCCTCAGGGTAGGCACATATCAAGGAGTGCGTAAACCAAACATGACCCTGATGGGACTTGTCAGTCGGCGGCCAGAGCCTAAATTGTAAACAAGCAAAAATGCCGATAATTTTTACTTGACCTGACCTGTGACGTCATCGGTGACCTCGAGGTCAATGAAAATAGGTTTTGCTCATCAGTTTTTCCAGGGCTATCAGAAGCCGTTTGAATTTTGACGATCGGCCAAGTAGTTTCGGAGATAGAAGGGGGGCTCTGGAGAGCCCCCCCTCAGTCACTCGCGTTATGGAAAATACCCCACTACCCCAGCCATGCGCGGGTTAACCCTCGCCGGCAGAGAATGCAACCCCCCCCCCCCTAAGGTTTTTCGCGAATAACTCGCGTAAAAAGCGGCGGATCGCAACGAAACTTTTAGTACCTTCGCATTGATCAATTTTACACCTACCCTGAAAATTCCATGACCCTGACCCCAATGACCTTTGACCTGTGACCTCTTTTCCGAGACCATGTTTGGCCGAAATCGCGGTTCGGCGCATGTCGGCTCGCATTAGCCGCGCGTTTGCAAGCTTTTCGTGGTTTCAAACGTTCAAACATGTGATTTGATGTTGCTCCCTGCATTAGGGTGGGTGTCAAGGTCACCTGAAGGTCAGGTCAGGTCATTGACCTTGGTGACCTCGGGTGACCTCGGTTCACTTTTTCGAGTTTTACATGTTTCTAGGCTAGTTTTTGGAGCTGAATTCGAATTTAGCAACCATTTGAACATTTACGAGGTAGTTGTGGTGCCTTCGTAACATGTTACGAAGCTGTCCGAGGCGGTTGACACGTATTACGAATACCCGTCACAACCCCTACCGGTTGACCTGACCTGACCTGACCCGACCTGGTCTAAATGCTTAAAGACATCATCTATGATCAAAACTAACACGATATTCGTGATCAGCACCCAGGAAAACCACATAGCAGCCACACTTTACGACTTTCTAACAGGTCCCGATTTCCCCGGTTTTCGGGTCATTGACCTGACCTGGAAGGTCACCCGATGACCAAGGACCTTAAAATTGGGTATCATCAGCTTCCTCTCGTGACGGGCAACACGCTCGTTTCTTCCGCGAAGCTCTAGCTCGATCAGGGACCAAACGCGAGGGGGGTCGTACCAACCCACCCCTCCCCTTGTGCCGTCGAAGGACTCAAAATGGCCTGTGCCGGCGAGGGTTAATTTATAACCTTCGCCCAGTGGGGGGGGGCATATGTTACCACCCTGTCGCGTTTTTTGCGTGTGAATAAAAAACCGCGGCGCGTAGCGCCGCGCCGCTTGGGGTAGCTTTTGGTACATCAAGTTTGGACAATGTGTGAAATGTTTGACCCCAGGTCATGTCAGGTCAGGTCACCAGGTCAAGTTAACTGACCAAGCCTAAAAAAGTTTGCAATCATGTCCAGTCTGCAGTGTTTGTCAGAAAGGTTTCAAACTTGGTGGGTTGCATGCTGTTATGGACTCCTACAATTTGTATATCTCGGATTTTTTATATCCGTGATCTAAGGTCAGGTCAGTGGCGTGACCTTTCCATTACAAGTCAATGGAGAAAAATGAAAATGTTAGATCCGTGTGTACGCATAGGAACAGTCCAAATATTTCAGAATCACGACTTAGTCCACTCGTGATGACCAAGGTGTCATTTTTGCTGATAGCCTCTAGAAAGGTCATCCGAGGTCATTTGAGGCTACAAACAGTTTTTTGCCAATAACTCGCGATTGGAAAGAGATAGAACGCTGGGGTTGGTCTCATTGTGTTTGTCGTGTTGAGACGCATCGACTGATATGCAACATGACCTTTTCCGGTCAGGTCATGACCTTGACCTGAGGTCAAATTTTCAAGTTGACCTTTCAAGGTCAAATTATAGTTCATTCGACGCGTCTCGGCGAGAGGAACACGATTCTGGCAATAGAAATGTCCTGGCTTTCTGTAGTCGAAAGTTATGGTCGAAAAACACTTTTCGTAAAAACAGTTATTTTTGGAGTTTTTGCCCTCTGGAGGCTAAACCGTTGACCTGAGGGCAATATTGATACTGACCTTTTCAAAAGAAGAGTTCAAAAGCTATCGATTGCTGTTCCATGCGTTTTTCTAGCTTCCATAGTTCCTGAGAAAGCGGCATGTTTTCTGAAAAATATAATGACGATTGGCAAATTTTGACCTTTGATGACCTCTGGTGACCCCAATATTGCTCTAAGGTGAAAAATGACTGAAATACTTTCAAACGTATGCATTAAGAGCTATCGACCGCTTTTTACCGCGTCTTTCTAGCCCTCTTAGTTTTTGAGTTAGAGGTGGGTGGTAACATATGCCCCCCCCCCCCACTAGGGCGAAGTTGGCTGAGACCGCCACTGGGGCGCGGAATAACAGTGTATTCCGTAAGAAGGATAACTTTATCTTGTCACATTTTCAATCTGACCTTCAAAATGTGTTTATATATTTTGCTCATCCTTTATGTGTAAAGTTATCATTTCAGCTTTGTATTGTTGCCAATGTTTTATCACAAATAATCTTAAAGCAAATCACGTGTAATCTTAAAGCAAATAAGACAAGTGGTCCAGATAATATTAGCACTAGGGTCTTAAAAGAAGGAGCAAGAGAATTATCTGTTCCACTTTACACTATCTTTAAAGAGTCATTAGAATCAGGTGAAATTCATGATGATTGGAAGTGTGCGAATGTCATTCCAATCTTCAAAGGTGGAAACAAAACTGTAGTGAGCAATTATAGACCAGTAAGTTTAAGTTCGGTCGTGTGTAAAGTGCTAGAAAGAATCATGAAACGTCAAATAGTTGCTCATTTTGAGGAACACGAGATTTTACTTCCATCTCAACATGGTTTTTGTAGTGGACGCTCCTGTTTGACAAACTTATTAGATTTCCTTGAATATTCGACAGACCTTTTGGACAGGAGTAACAGTGTATCAGTAGTTTATTTAGACTTCAGCAAGGCATTCGATAAAGTTCCACACAAAAGACTCTTGATCACATTAGAGCGTCATGGTTTAGACGGTCCTCTGCTCAAATGGATAGGGGCCTGGCTAGTAGGTCGCAGGCAGCGAGTCATTCTAAATGGCCATCAAGCTGACTGGAAAGCTGTCAAGAGTGGTGTGCCTCAGGGAACTGTTTTAGCACCATTGCTTTTCATTATTTTTGTAGATCTTATAGACTCTGACTTAACAAGTAACATATGGAAATTCGCGGATGATATCAAGATAGCTAAAAATATTACTTCAGATGACGATAGAAGAGCACTACAGGCAGACTTAGATGTTCTTTTAAAATGGAGCAAGGAATGGCAGATGGAATTTAATGCTGATAAATGCAAAGTTCTTCATCTGGGAGTAAAAAGTAACGATGCATATTATTTGAATGGAACTAAGTTGGCAACTGTGAGGGAAGAAAAGGACCTGGGTGTTTTGGTGACAAATGATCTGAAGTTCAGTGGCCATTATGTACAAGCTCGAAAAAAGGCTTTAAAAATGTTGGGGGTTATAAATAAAAATGTATCATATAAAAGTAAAGAAGTAATGAAAAGACTCTATTGTTCATTAGTTCGGCCTCATCTTGAATACTGTGCACAAGCATGCCACTCGTCTCTAAAAAAGGATATAAAACTTTTGGAGCGTGTGCAGAGGAGGGCAACAAAGATGGTTCGTGGGCTGGGTGAAATGAGCTACAGAGAACGCCTGGCTTCCTTAAATATGTTTTCACTTCATTACCGCAGGATAAGAGGGGATTTGATTGAACTTTTTAAAATATACAAAGGGATTGATAAGTTAGATTTTGGGAAGATGTTTACACTCAATACAAATTCCACGAGAGGAAATGGGTGCAAACTAGTAAAGAAATTTTCCAGAACCAAGTTAAGACAGTCCTTTTTTACCAGTAGGGTCATAGAAGCTTGGAACGGTTTACCTCCTAGAGTTATCAATAGTTCCTCCTTAAGTAATTTTAAAAATGAGCTAAACTTGTATCATAAACAGCGTGGGCTAGTGTTCGATGAAATGGTGTAATTGTACCGTGTTTTACATACAGTGTTTCTTCATCTACCTGTAACCTTGTTGGGCCCAAGTGGCCTGCTGTTACATGGAATACATGTTATGTTATGTTATGTTAAATCCTTCGTCGGATACAGGCTCAAATCATTGACCATCACCATTCACCAGTGTCCAGTCACCACCCGACTTGTTATCCTAGGGCTTACCATGGCTTACGAGTTACGACTTTCGTCTTACTCTTACCTTAGGATCAGGTAGCATTACCTACACATGTATGTGTTGGATCCAGTGATTCCTTGTTTGATTTAGGCTTCAGTTCAGAGTTTCAGGAATAAACTGCTCCTGCCTTCTCCACATGATTTATGGATATTTGCAAAAAAGGCAGTACCTTTGAGCAAAAATCACGAGCAAAGTACGGAGCAGCCGGCCTGTTCTTCCGTTCTTCGTGTCACCGTATCGTTCCTGTCACCGTACCGTATGTCTTCAGCTCTTCCGTTCTTGGTGTCACCGTGTAGCCCCCAGCCCCGTTCAGGAGCGCCCGGCAGCGCCACCTGCACCTGACCAGTCCGGCAGCGTTTGGGGTCGCCACGCACCGCCGACAATCAGCTGACGCGGCCGGCAGCGCGTCTCAAGGTCACTGGAGGTCAGCCGGGCCGCGGCCCGCCGGCGTGGCCGTGACGTCACAGCCAGCGAGCGCTAAACGCCATAGTTGTGGTGTGGCAGGAGGGGCGAACAAAACATAAAGCAAAACGAGGCCTTCGTAGTACAACAAACCTATAAACCAGCTGTTCAGAACTGGTTGGCTTGAAGCACGAATGACTTAGCAACTGGTGCGTTCCATGACAGATCGACCAAGCCATACCACCCTACCTTTCAGATTTTGATGAAATTGCGTCCAGGGGGTGAACTGTAATCTGTACCGTAGATTCTTAACCCTCGCCCGTAAACGGCGATCTGCCACCTTCGCCCATGCAGGGGGGGGGGGGTTGGTGCGACCCCCCCCCCTTGGCGTTTGAAAACGGAGCGTCGTAGAGCTTAGCGGAAAAGACCAACGGATTGCTCTCGCCGAGATCTCGCGATTGGTGGTATATTTTTTGGTCCTAGGTCAACATTTGACCTACTTTTGACCGGTCAAAGGTCAAATTTTCGGAAAAATAGACTTTTTTCAACTTTCCGCGGCGATTGCGGCAAAACGGTGAGAGATATCGACTTGAAACCTTCACTATCGTGTTCCTTGATCAATTCTCTATCGTTTGGTATGTATTTCGTTTCCCTAGCTCTAAAAATGGCGCGTTGGGAGCGCCGGAAGTCGGCAAGGTCACAGTCGGCGGCAGAAATTCGAAAAATCAAAATTTAAATTTTTGAAATCTGATTGTATTTTTGGATTTGGAAGGTCCATTTGCTCCCTATAGAAGCTAATATTGCTGCATATTCCCATTGAGGTGACAAGAATTAGCAAAATAGTGGTTCGGGCGCTTTTCAAAAATAGTACCGGACGCTGTTCCTCTTGTGACGTCATAGCTCCGTGACCTGACCTGACCCGGTCAAGTTTCTTATACCATATGATAGCCAATACTTGCCCCAACATGCATGGGAAGTTTCATCACGATCTATTAACCGATGTCCGTACCACCGGCAGGAAACCTCGGGCGTTGGCACTCAGTTTGTGAAAATCCGGCCGGAGGCTGTTCCCTTTGTGACGTCATAACTTCGTGACCTGACATGACCCGGTCAAATTTTTTTTTATCAAAAGATGCGCAAGGTTTGCCCCATAAGGTACCCAAAATTTGGCGGCGCTGCGCGCCGCCGTTTTTGCACTATTTCCGAAAAACCTCAGGGGGGGGGGGGTTGCACCAACCCCCACCCCTACATGGGCGAGGGTTAATCTCCCATTTTCAGTGTTATGCTACAAACGGTTTACGAGTTAACCCGCGCCCTGCTGGGGGGGGTCTTGTGGTTTTTCAAGAATATCTCAAAAACGGCGGCGCGGAGCGCCGCCGTTTTTGGTACACCTTATCATACATTAATTCTACACATGCTGTGAAAATTTCAGACCAAGGTCATTCAAGGTCAGGTCACCAGGCCACTTGAAGTGACCTCACCTCATAAAAAGTTTCAATGTCTGTCATAGCTACACCGAGTGACCGATCGCTATGAAACTTTCAGCGATTGCTAAGAGCAATACCATGTACAAAATGTTTATCTCAGAATTTTGATATCGATGACCTAAGGTCAGGTCAATTTTGCGACCTCCCCATTATAAGTCAATGGGAGAAAATTGAAATGCGCCTCTTTTGGACGAAAGACATTATAAACACTCCAAAACACCGAATTACAAGTGGTTTAGACACACTGAACATGAAAATGGTGTCCGTGACCCTTGTTTGTGCCCTGAGGTCATCTTAGGTCACGAATGGTATCTAACAGTTTTTTTCGCAAATAACTTTTGATAGAGGCATGCATGCTAGAGCGGTGAAAACGCCTTACATGTGTTCAGCTCGACGATACGGATCGACTGATATGCAACATGACCCTTTCCGGTCATGTACCTTGACCTGAAGTCAAATTTTCAAGTTGACCGTTCAAGGTCAAGTTATAGTTCATTCGATGCGTCTTGACGAGAGGAACACGATGCCGGTAAAAGTAAGCTCGTACATGGCTTGGGTCAAAAGTTATTGCAGAAAAACTGTTTCCGAAAAAAATCGGCTATTTTTGCAGTTTTTGCCCCCTGCAGACAAAACCGTTCACGTTATGTCTAATCTGAGGGAATTACTCAGAAAGGGCGTCAATAGGGCTATC